GTGATACTGGAGGGCAGGACACCTGGGTGCTTCTCCCAGCTTGGAGAGGGGGTGGCAGCTGGTGGGTTAGAGCAGCGGGGCTGGGAGGGGGTCAGTGGCTGGGAGCCAGGACTCCCTGGGTTCTCTCCCCAGCTCGGGGGGGCAGTGGGGCTGCTGGGATAGAGCAGGGGGGCTGGGAGCCAGGATTCCTGGTTTTTTTCCCCAGCTCTGGGGTGGCAGTGGGGCTGCTGGGTTAGAGCACTCCAATTAGCCCAACAGGTTATTTACCAGGCTTCCTGCTTCCAACATACTTTCTGTGTGTTTTTCAAAGTCCTTTTTGGCCTTTCTAGTTTTTACATTTGACAAGCGGATGTTTTAGATACCTCTTGCCCTGGCGAAGGGTTGCCTTCCCATTTGGCATGTTGCCTTTTCCCCTCTGACTGCCTTGCATACTCTGCTGTTTCGCCTAGGGGGGTTCTGTTAGTACCTTGTTTGAATTTTGGAAAGCCCTTGAATTTGGGCCTCTCTTTGTGGTGGTTTTAAACCCACCTTCTTGAAGTTTGCAGGAATTTTACTCCTATGACAGAGGCTTCTCATTTCCATGTCATAGCTGCCTCATTTTCCCACCAGTTTCCCCTTTTGTGTCATTCAGTGTGACCGTGGGGCAAATCTCTGCTGGCTTTTCTTCCCCACAGGGGATGTTAAAGCTAATGCCCCGACAGTCACAGTTACTGAGGGGTTTGAATCTATTCGCCGCTCAGCCCGGGTCCCATGAGTGCTGCTTGCGAGTCAAGAGAGAATTGGCTCTTCCCTGGTGGCTTCCCAGGACCAGCTGCTCCAAGAAGAAGCTGTTAGCGCGGTTTAGAAATCGTAGACTCATAGACCACTAGAACTGGAAGGGACCTCGAGAGTCATCGAGTCCAGTCCCTTGTCCTCACAGCAGGACCAAGCACCATCTAGACCAGTGGTACACAACCTTTTTTTAACTGCGACCCCCAACGCTGGACCTGGCCATTGGCAGCCGTGTGGCGTGGTGCTCAGATCCGGGCAGCTGGGGGCTGGGTCCGGCCGTTGGCAGCCGCGCGGCGCGGCGACCCCCCAGGAAGACATCCTTGACCCCCTAGGGGGTCGCAACCTATACATTGCACACCACTGGTCTAGACCGTCCCTGATAGATGTCTAACCAAGTTGCTCTCAAATATCTCCAGTGATGGAGATTCCACAATTTATTCCAGTGTTTAACCACCCTGACAAGTAGGAAGCTTTTCCTAAAGGCATCCTGCCCTTCTGGGACACATTTCCGGTCAACCAGGTGATGGTTCAAACCTCCCATTCTTGGTGGAGTTGCTTTTTCCAGACTCTCTTTTCTCTCTCCACATTTTCCTGTGTCCACCCCAAGCTGGGGGCAGGCTAACTTGCTATTACAGGGTGGTCCCGGTAGCAGGGGCTTGGTGCTATCTGTGCAGTTTTACCCCCGCCTGGGAAAACCTGCCCTCCTGATTCACCTTTGCCATCCAGCCCCCTTGCCACATGGCTGCTCCCTCCCTTGCTCAGCCTGTTGGCTTCCCCCCTGCCACAATCCCCCACTGAGGAAGGGATGCAACGTTAATTCTCGGGGACCCCTGGCTTAGCTGGGGCAGCCTGAGCTCCTCGGGACCGCTTCTCCCCGCAGCGAGACAGCTGGATCCCTTCAAGCTGATAGTGGTGGTGTCCCCCCCGCATGCCTGACCCACTGCTCTAGGTACTGCGTGGCCTGGCGAGCCGCCTCTGCACACCGAGTGCTATGGGGCAGTGCGGACCCCGCTGGGCCCGCTCAGGGCGGCCCCATCCTGCCCTGGGCCTCTGCCTCCTTTGACGGGTCCTTGTCTGCTCCTGCTTCAGGGCTGGTGGGTCAGAGCGGACGGGGCGGGGGAGGGCTGGGAGCCAGAACACCTGGGTCACGGCTCTCCCCTTGCCTGGTTGGGTATGATCCCTCAATCCCTCCACGCTTTTTCTGCAGGATGGGCTCATTGCACGGCCCCAAGGAGCCCTCTGTTGGAGTCGGTGAGTATTGGAACCAGGGGCCCAGGTAGCCCCGCCCCCCCAGCTATCTGTCTGTCCACCCCCTGTCACTGTGGGCCAGGGGCCACCTGCCCACAGCCCGAGCCCTTTGGCCTTGACCCCCCGACCCCCAGTCTCTTCATAAGTACATGGGGCAGGCAGCCTGTAGGGCTCTGGCAGCTTCCCCGGCACAGTAGGGGTCTCACATCCCTCTCCCCTGCCAGCTGAGCTCGCACAGTGCGACTTTGACAACAGTGAACAGCCCCTCTGCCGCTGGACGCAGCCTCATGCCGAGGAATGGATCCGGACCCAGGGCCTGGCCCCCGGGGAGAGCCCCGGGCCTCCAGAAGGGACTCCTGAGAGAGGTGAGAAGGAGGGCTGCTGGAGTCCCTGTCTGACCAGCTGCCCCGCCCCAGAGGTGGCCGCATCTCAGCACCGGGTGAGGGGTCCCTATGTGCCCAGCCACACCACCACCCCAAAGTGGCTGCATCTCTGCACTGAACAAAGGGTCCCTGTATAACCAACTGTCCCCCCAAAAGCAGCTGCATCTCAGTGCCAGACAAGGGGTCCCTGTGTAACCAGCCGCCCTGCCCCAGAGGTGGCCGCATCTCAGTGCTGGGCGAGGGGACCCTGTGTAACCAGCCGCCTTGCCCCAGAGGTGGCCTCATCTTAGCGCCAGGTGAGGGATCCCTGGCTAACTGGCGGCTCTCCCCTCCTCCCCCCCAGCGGGGTATTACATCACTCCTGCAGCCCGGGCCCCCAGCATCGTGGAGCTGTTCAGTCCGGAGTTGGAGGTGGCCTCAGCCGTGTGCCTGGAGTTCCTGTACTACATGTCCGGCACCCTGAACGAGGGGTCCTGGCTCGAGGTGCTGTCCCACGGCCCTGCCGGCTACAGTGTCCCCCAGTGGAACCGGACAGGACAGCAGAGCTCGGCCTGGCTGAGGGGAGCCATCACCCTGAAGGCCCCCTCCGAGCGCCTCTTTAAGGTGAGGGGGTTGGATGGCTGGTGGGGGCAGGGGCTCTATACTACACACCAGCTGACCCCCATACACGTAGCTGGGGACACTTTGTGGGAGGCGTGCAGGGGGGAAGGGAGACTGGGTGGGTGATGGCTGTGAGGTTGAGGAAGGAGAAGGGGCAGGGCAGAGGCCAGTTGGGGGAGGGGAAGATGGGTGTGGGAGGGGCAGGGCTTGGAGGGAGGAGGGGAAAGCCAGAGGGGGAAGAAGGGGATTGTTGTGGGCTAGAGAGTGTTGTGTGGGTGGGAATGTGGGGCTGATGAGAGGGGGGGCTCCGGGGGATGCTCCCTGAAGCTGTGTCTGATGCCCCGCCCTTGTATGTGCCCTCCCCTGCAGGCTGTTTTCCGCGCCGCCCGCACCCCAGATTTTTACCTGGCCCTGGACTCCATCTCCATCCAGCTGGGGCCCTGCTCCCGTATGTATAGACCAGGGGTGGGGAACCTTTTTTGAGTTGGGGGGCACTGACCCACAGAAAAATCAGTCAGGGGCCGCACACAAGTGAGAAGCAAAAAAAAAACCCCAAAACCCACAAACACAAACCCACTTTCAGGGGCCAGATCCAAGCAAGCCAGGAGCTGCATCCAGCCCCTGGGCCTTAAGTTCCCCACCCTGGTATAGACAGATGGATGCTTGCTCACCCCCTCCCCAACTCCTCCCCGCTCTCTGGCTCCGCTGTGGGTTGACCTTCCCCAAATCATTCCTCTTGGAATTTCCTTGGACTTTAAATTCCGATTCACCCAGCCCAATGGGGCTGACCAGCAGGCCTGGCTCCCACAGAGCCCTGTATCTCTCTGAACTATCTGCCCCCTCTGGCCCCTGCTCTCAGCTGGCCTGAGTCTGCCAGCCTGGGCAAAGGTGCTTCTCAGAAATAAACCAAGGGTTGCCCCCTGGAATTCAGGGCCCCAGGCAATTTGCTTGCCCCTGTGCACGTTGTAATAATGTCACACATCTTCTGCGGAGGCCAAGGAACCTGGAGTCGCCTGAAGGGAAAGTGGGGAGACGCTGGGTTGTGTGGCAGGACACCACAGGGATGCCTGTGCTTTCATGCTTCTAGTGAACTCTCCATGCACACTCCACTGCAAACAAGCCACCCCGGTGAAAGATCCCTCCGGCTTCTCTCTCTGGCTGGAGAAAGCCAAAGTTTCAGCTGCCCCCTAACGCCAGCCTGAACTTCTACCCACATTACCAGCAGATAGTGCCAGGGCCAGGGCACATGCTGGGCGAGCACAGCAGGGAGGCATGCAGTGGGAGCTTTCTGGTGAGATCTCACATGTCCACCGTGAGGCACATAGCCCGACACCAGCATGTTAGCTGTAGTGAGTCCATTGGGCCTCAGATGGGGGCTGAGAGAGGGTCAATCAATGACAGGCAGATGTTATGGGGAGTCTGGGGGTGCAGACAGGGCGATAGAGTGGTGGGTACAGTGATAGGCTAACAAAGGAGAATGTGTGGAGATATACAGACAGATAGACAGATAGACAGATGATAAGCAGATGTGTGTTGGGATGGAGGGAGGGAAAGCTAGAAGGGGAGACAGGTGGACTTGTCGGGATGGGGGGCGAGAGGGAGGGAGTAGGGATAGCAGAGTGTGTTGGCAATGGATGCATGGACCATTTCATTGTGTTATTTATGGCTGTCTCTCTCTCATAGCCTGTGAGACCAGCTGTGATTTCGATGTCCTTGATGCCCTTTGTGGCTGGGAGAACCCACCTGGTACCAGCACCGCCAGCTGGAAGCAATGGGTTGGGTCTGGGGACATAGCAGGGGTCGGCCCACAGGACGATTTCTCTAAGCCTGGATGTGAGTACCTAACAATTCCCCCAGGTGCCAACTTTCCCCGCGAGTCCCAAACATGGGCCTGATCCCACATGGGCTTTGCAGTTCCCCAGGCAAACTCAGGAGTCCAGGATTCCTGTGTAACCAGCTGCTCTGCCCCAGAGGTGGCTGCATCTCAGCACCAGGTGAAGGGTAAATGTGTATCTGGCCACTTCACCACAGATGTGGCCACATCTCAGCATTGGTGAGGGGTCCTTGTGTAACCAGCTGCCAGCCCCAGAGGTGGCTGAATCTCCGCATCTGGTGGTGACTATCTCTCTGTCCTCTCCTCACAGTCGGCTACTACATGCTGATGGAATTCCTGGAGCTGGAAGCTGGAGGAAGAGCCCTGCTTCGGAGCCCCCCCTTTTCGTCACCAGGGGGGTGCCTGGCCCTGAGTTTCTACTACATCATCCATGGCAAATCTCCCTCTGCCACACTCAACATCTACGCTGCCCCTGCAGGCATGTGTGGATCTAGCTGGGACTCAGGCAGGGCTGCGTCTGTCTCCCCACCCCATCCCACTCCCTGTAGCCCCTGCTTCTTGACCTGGTCTGAAATACAGGTTTGGATTAAACCACACCCCTCACCACAAGACCCTGCCCCCATATTTCAGCCCCACCCCACTTTGAATTGGCCCTAGCAGAAAAAGCCAGGAAAATTCCCTTCCCAGCAAAGCGCTGGTGAGAGCAGTGGGATATTGGGAGTTTAGCCCTGCTGCAGGGATATCTCTGTTGGCAGGGGAGGCCTTCCTGCTCCATAGCTGCCAACTGGGGTGGGGTTTGCCCCCATGCCTCAGAAAGCAGTGCTGGAAATTAGCACCCCAATGCGATGCATGGAGGAGAGCAATCGGCTCAGCCGCATGGCAGACTCAGGCTGCTTTGCTTGTACTTGGGGTGGCTCAAAAGTGGCACCCAAGGCAACAACAGGGGCCTGAATGTGTGGAGAGCCTGAGACAATTGTTCTCAAAGAACAGTCCTACGTAACCAGCCACTGCACCCCAGAGGTGGCTGCATCTAAGGGTACGTCTAGACTACAGGGTTTTGTCAACGGAAGTTTTGTCAACAGATACTGTCGACAAAACTTCTGTGGACATAGAGCGTCTAGACACATTCAGTTCTGTCGACAAAGCAAGCTGCTTTGTCGACAAAACCCTGTAGTCTAGACGCAACCCTACAGGCGATAACACCTTCTATCGACAGAACTCTGTTGACAGAAGGTGTTATGCCTCGTAAAATGAGGTTTACCAGCGTCGACAAAACTGCTGAGTTCTGTCGACGTTATGTCGACAGAACTCAGTGGTAGTGTAGACGCAGGTATAGTTTTGTCGACAAAAGTCCACTTTTGTCGACAAAACTCAGTAGTCTAGACACACCCTAAGAGCCAGGTGAGGGGACCCTGTGTATAACCTGTGTTTCTCCTTGCCTGCAGGGGCAACAGAAGCTGATCTGGGGACCCCCCTTCTAAGCCTCAAGGGAGACCAGGGAGCAGCCTGGCAACTGGGACAGGTGAATTATAGTGGGACCAATGAGATTCAGGTAAGGAGGGGCAGGAGGGGCAGGGGATGGGCCCCAAGGAGTGGATGTTATCTGCCTAACCCAGCCCATCTAACCCCCTCACACCCCTGTGTATCCCCCCAGTTTGTTTTCCAGGGTAGCTACAGTGAGATGCCAGAGCCAGGGCTAGCTGTGGACAGTGTGCGAGTGTGGCAGTGCGAAGGTAGGGCCCCTGCAGGGCGGGCACGGGGGAGGCAGGGATCTCAGTGAGATACGGTTTTGGGGGGCTTAGAAAGCCTGCTGATGAGGGAGACTGTGCATGAGTGCACATGCAAGGAGGCCCATGTGTGTGCGCTCACGAATGCACGAGCAAGCACCACCACCCCCTGCTCCTGAGTCTGCATTCACAGGCAGGAGAGCATGGTGGTGCCCATGTGTTCACAAGAGCAGGCTGGCATGAGAGCAAAACACACAAACACGAACGTGCCCTGCAGACGCTGACTGGGGAGGGCAAAGTGGAGTAGCACGGCCCTGCTGAGAACAGACAGGGCGAGCGCTCAGTCTTAGCAGGGCATCGCTGCTGCAGAAAGGTGGGGAGCTGGGTGCGAGGGAGGGGCATCCCAGCCCCTCTGACCTGACTGCCCCACCCCACACAGAGACCTTCACCCAGTGCGACTTCAACAATGCCAGTGACCCGCTGTGCGGCTGGGCCCAGCCCCAGGATGATGATGGCGAGTGGATCCACACTAACCAGCCCACGCCCACTGAGGAGACTGGCCCACCGGGGGACTATCCCCATGGGGGTAAGGAGAGGCTGGGCTGCCCCATCTGCCCCCCCAGCCCTGCTCCCCCTCCCGTCAATCTGTCCCCCAGCCGTTCACTTTGTGTTCCGTAAGCTGAATTTACCCAAAGTAAATTTACCCAAAAATGTCTTGTCTGGGAATTTCCTCCATCTCCACAGAGGGTTATTACATCTACGCGGAGGCTGGGAGCCTGAGGCCCGGCCAGTCCATGCACCTGGAGTCCCAGGATTACTGCCTCCCTGCTGCCGCCTGCGTGGAGTTTTACTATTACATGTCTGGTGTGGTACACACAGAGACCCAGCTGCGGGTGCTGGCCCGGGGACCTTCTGGCCCTCCCCAAACTCTCTGGACTCGCACCAGCATCCAGACCCCAGCTTGGCTACTGGGCGCCATCACCATACCCGCCGGCCGCCTGCAGCCCACTAAGGTGAGTGGGAGTATGGGGAAAGGGTGCAGGGCTGTGGGGGAGGGGGCACAACCCCCAGTCTGGGGCAGCTTCCCAATTTGTGAATCATCTGGGTGATTGCTACTTTCACTTCAGTATCCCTGGAACTCCCTGCTGCTGGGGTGGACAGTGCCAGGAGACTGAGCTCAGAAAACGCAGGAGGCTGGGGTAGATGGGCTCAGGGGACTGAGCTCAGGACAGGCGGGAGGCCAGAGTAGATAGACCTTAGGGATTATGCTCAGGGCAAATGGAAGGCTAGGGTATATGGGCCCATTAGGGCTGATTTCAAGACAGGCAGGAAGCTGGGGTAGATGGGCCCACCAGGAATGATCTTGGGGCAGGCGGGAGGCCGGAGTAGATGTGCCCTATGGGTTGATCTCAGGGCAGGTGGAAGGCTGGGATAGATGGGAGAGAGGCAGGAGAGGCGAGTAGGCTGGCAGACCCCTAACTCTGTTCTGTTGAATTAGATCATTTTTGAAGTGGTGCGGGGCAACCTCCCCTACCTCGATGTGGCCTTGGACAACCTATCGGTGCGGAGGGGTCCCTGCCCTGGTGAGAGGCACTGGGTTGGTTGGGCTGGGAAGGCTGTGTCCATGGGAAGGGGTGGGCAAGCCGACTGGGGGCAGGGGAAGTAACAGAGGGTTGTCTTGTGCAGGGCATGTGCGCGGATGTGTGCAAGGTGTGTGCAGGGTGTGTGTTAAGCATGCAAGGAGGGTGTGCAAGGCATGTAGCATGGCACCCATGTCAGGGAGAGCCAAGTGTGTCCCTTCTACTCACATGTGTCTCTGTCTTGTCCCCCCACCCCAGAGGCACCAGCCAGGACAGCTCCCAGCTGGATAGCTCCCAGCTCCACTATCTGCCCCAGCTGTACGCCAGCAACTGGCACAATAGCAACCAGCACTACCTCCAATGGCATCATGACAATGAGCACCATAGCAACCACTACTGCCGCCAGTGGGGCCACAACAAATGCCACCATAACAACTGGCACTGCCCCAGGGGACACCACAGGAACAACCACCCGAGCAGCCAGCACCACCCCCGGTAACACCACAGAAACCGCCACACTAGCAACTGGCACTGCCCTCAGTGGAACCACAGTAATCAGTCCTATAGCAAACAACACTGACCCCAGTGGCACCACTACAAGCTCCCCCAATGCAACTGAGACCACCATCATCAGCACCATGGCAAGCAGCTCCTTAGCAACCACCACCACCTCCAGTGACACCACGGCAACAACTACCATAGCAACTGGCACTGCCCCCAGTGGCACCATGACAACCAGCCCTAATGAAACTGGCACTGCCTCCAGTGAAACCACAACAGCCAATCCTATGGCAAACAGCACCGCCCACAGCAGCACCACAAGTTGCACCCTCGTTGCAACTGGCACCACCACAACTGGCACCATGAAAAGCAGCTCTGTAGCAACTGGCACCACTCCCAGTGACACCACAGCAACAACTACCGTAGTAACTGGCACCACCTCCAGTGGGACCACAGCAAACGCCACCATGGCAACCAGCACTGTCCCCAGTGGCACCATGACAACCATCCCCATAGCAACTGGCACCATCCCCAGCAGCACTGCAACAACCAGTCTCATAGAAACCAGCAGCACAACAACCATCCCCATAGCAAACAGCACTGTCCCCAGTGGCACCATGACAACCAGCCCCTTAGCAACTCAGCAGGGCTATGGCAACCACTACCATAGCAACAGGCACCACCCTCAGCGGCACCACAGCAATCATCCCCATAGTAACTGGCACTGCTTCCAGCAGCACCCAGGCAACTACCACTCAAGTAAACAGCAACAGCCCCAGCAGCCCGACAATCATCACTATAGCACCCGCCACTGCCCCCACTTCTGGGTCTCCAGCCCCCTCTGTGATCCCCTCGACTCTGCCAGGTGGGTGGCCCCATGGAGGCAGAGGGTGGTTGGCTGCATCCTGCCTCCCAGTGTCCCATAATCCCTGCGGGCAGGAGGCTCAGTGCGGACAGACCAACCCCAACTGTCTCAGGGCCATGGTGTGACCAGACTCTCTCCCTGCAGGCACCCCCAACCCATGCCCCCCCAACGCCCACTATGAGGCCTGCGGCCCAGCTTGCCCCCCACGCTGCAATGACTCCCACCCCAGCTGCAGCCTGCCCTGCCAGCCAGGCTGCCAGTGTAACCCGTGAGTGGGGAGCACTGTGTCCCCCACCCCCACTGTGGCTGCTTCCACAACCACACCTACTACCAGGTCAGTCAGACTCCTAGGTTCTCTGCCCGGACCTGGGAGGGGAGTGGGGGCTGGTGGTTACAGCAGGGGGCTGGGAACCAGGACTCCTGAGTTCTCTCACCTGTGTCTGTCCCTAGCCTGGTGAGATAATCTACTCTGAAGACTGCCTGGAGATCTGCCAGTGTCTCTCTAACAACGAAACCCACTGCTCTAATGCCAGCTGTGGACCCAGCCAGTATTGCGCCAGCCATAGGGATGGAGTTCAGGGCTGCTTCCCAATAGGTGGGTGCTGGCAGGACTCCATACTGAGGGAGCAGGACTCCTGAGGTCTCTCCCCGGCTCTGGGAAGGACACAGGACCTAGTGCTTAGCTTTGGCTGCCCTCTCTGCCCCCAGACTTGGCAGCCTGCGTGGCGTCAGGCGACCCTCACTACACCACCTTCGACAAGAGGAAGTTTGATTTCCAGGGGACCTGCACCTACGTCCTGGCCCGGCCCTGCAATGCCAGCCTGGCCTTGGCCCCTTTTGCCATCTATGCTGAGAACGAGAACCGCTTCGGCCAGAACTCTGTGGCCTATGTCCGGGCTTTGTCCGTGGAGCTGCCAGGCACCACCATCGCCCTGCTAAAGAACCACGTGGTGCAGGTAGGGGGCACTGTGGGTCAAGGAGCGGGGTGGGAGCTCAGCAGGGGGTGCTCTCTCCTGCCGGTCTGGGGTGGCCCTAGGGCAGCACTAGGGGCTGCAAGGAGCCACCTCACCCCAGAGGTGGGTGCATCCCAGCACCAGATGGGGATCCCTGTCTAACCCCAGATTATACAACCCTAAACTGCTGGTTTTTATAGGTGAATGGCTCTCAGGTGACCCTCCCAGCTGCTCCTACCCCTGGTGTGTCTGTCTATCTGTCTGGGACCTTTGCTGAGGTGCGGACGGATTTTGGGATGGTGGTGCGGTATGACGGGAACCACTATGCTGAGGTCCGGGTCAGCAGCCAGTGAGTCCAGCAAAGGGTGAAAGGAGGGAGTGGGGGTGAGAGGGGATGCAATATGGAGGGCTGGGGTCATAGGGTTCAGGGAGCCAGGGGAGTTGGTGGGGGGTCATGGAAGGGGTTAGCAGGAACAAGAGACAGTCCAGGAGTTGGGGAGGGGATGGTACAAGTTGGGGGAAGGGGGCAGGAAGGGTGAAGGAAAGGGCTGGGGGTCAGCAGAGATTGAGGGGACTTACCAAGAAGTGGAGTCACCGGCCCTGCACCCCATTCACCGACAGCTGGTAGGTAGAACAAATGGTTTATTAGTTGACAGGGACAGTGTAGAACAGACTTGTCAGCACAGAAACCAGAAGCAGCCAGCACCATCCATCTGGGAAGAGGGAGGCCCAGAGCCAAGGGCCCCTGATCTCCTCCTTGCACCCCAAACCAGTAAGACCCACTCCCAGCTCTTGGTCCCAGCATTCATGGAATCATAGACTCATAGGGTTGGAGGAGACCTCAGGAGGTCGAGTCCAACCCTCTGCCCAAAGCAGGACCAATCCCAACTCAATCATCCCAGCCAGAGCTTTGTCAAGTCAGACTTAAAAACCTCTAGGGATGGAGATTTCACTCCCTCCCTAGGGACCCCATCCCAGTGCTTCACCACCCTCCTAGGCCTAGACTTGAGACCATTGCTCCTCGTTTTGCCATCCATCTTTGAAACCCCCTTCAGATAGTTGGCGGCTGCTCTCAAATCGCTCCTCACTTTTCTCTTCTGCAGACTAAACAAACCCAAATCCCTCAATCTCTCCTCATAAGTCATGTGCTCCAATACCCTTATCATTTTGATTGCCTTCCACTGGACTTTCTCCAGTGCAGCCACATCCCTTCTGTAATGGGGGGCCCAGAACTGGACACAGTACTCCAGTTGTGGCCTCACCAGAGCCAAATAAAGGGGAATAAACACATCCCTAGATTTGCTGGCAATGCTCCTACAAATGCACGCTAATATGCCGTTAGCCTTCTTCGCTACAAGGGCGCACTGGTGACTCTTATCCAACTTCTCATCCACTGTAACCCCCAGGTCATTTTCTGTCAAACTGCTGCTGAGCCAGTTGGACCCCAGCCTGTAACAATGTTTGGGATTCTTCCGTGACTCTGCACTTGTCCTTGTTGAATCTCATCAGATTTCTTTTGGCCCAATCCTCCACTTCGTCTAGGTCATTCTGGACCCTTTCCCTGTCCTCCAGCCTATCTACCTCTCCCCCTAGCTTAGTGTCATCCGCAAACTTGCTGAAGGTGCAATCCATCCCCGCATCCAGGACATTACTAAAGACGTTGAACAAAACCAGCCCCGACCCTTTGGTACCCCACTTGATACCAACTGCCAGCCAGACATTGAGCCGTTGATCACCTCCCGTTGAGCCCAACAATCTAGCCAACTTTCTATCCACTTTACAGTCCATTTATCCAAGCCATACTTCCTTAACCCAGCCAAGTTTCTCCTCCAGACTTTGTCCTACTTGGGGAGGGTGGGGAGTTATCACTTGGCTGTACCCTCTCCTGGGCTCAGGTTATGAAGGGCATCAGCCATTGTGTATGTGCTGGAGGCTGTCACACCAAAATCCCCCTCACCATCTAGTATTGGTGCAATGCTCAGGGAAACTGAGGTTACTACAGGTTAGTTCGAACTAACTTTAATAGGTGCTACACTAGCGCTCCGCTAGTTCGAATTTTAATCGAACTAGCGGAGTGCTTAGTTCGAACTAGGTAAACCTCATTTTACGAGGACTAACGCCTAGTTCGAACTAGCTAGTTCGAACTAAGGGCTGTGTAGCCCTTTAGTTCAAACTAGTGGGAGGCTAGCCCTCCCCAGGTTTCCCTGGTGGCCACTCTGGCCAACACCAGGGAAACTCTATGCCCCCCTCCCGGCCCCGGACCCCTTAAAGGGGCAGGGGCTGGCTACGGTGCCCGTGCCAGGTGCAAGCCTGCCAGCACCCAGCTAGCAGACCCTGCACCTGGCACGGCACAGAGCCACCCACCCGATGCCCCCCAG